TCCCCAGGTGTGTCCCCCATCCCCAGGTGTGTGCCCAGGTGTCTCACCCAGCGGGTCGGAGCTGCGGCGCCGCCGCATGGCGGGCAGGTAATCAGGTGAGAGCAGCACCTTGAAGAGGCGCTCGAAGGGCTGGCACTGCACGAAGCTCTGCAGCCCCCGCGCGTTCAGACACAGCGCGCTGAACACGTTGGGCAGAGAGCCCAGCACCTCCCGCGTGGCTGGCACCTGGGGGACAGGTGAGGCACAGGTGAGAGACAGGTGAGGGCTGGAGAGGGGCTGGGGAGAAACACCTGGGACAGGTGAGGGGCTAGGGGCAGACCTGAGGCTAGGGAAATACACCCGGGACAGGTGAGCGGTTACACAAAAGGGACAGGTGAGGGGACAGGATAAGTGTAGGACAGGTGTGACAGGTGACAGGTGTGACAGGTGTGACACGTGACAGGTGAGACACTCATGTCCTTGATGAGCAGCGTGTGCAGCATGACGTCGATGAGGGGATACACAGAGGTATAGGTGTGTGACAGGTGTCACAGGTGAGGTGACAGGTATGACAGGTGAGGTGACAGGTGTGACAGGTATGACAGGTGAGGTGACAGGTATGACAGGTGTGACAGGTGAGGTGACAGGTGAGGTGACAGGTATGACAGGTGTGACAGGTGAGGTGACAGGTGTGACAGGTGTGACAGGTGAGACACTCACGTCCTTGATGAGCAGCACGTGCAGCATGACGTCGGTGAGGGGATACACAGGGGGACGGGTGTATGACAGGTAGGACAGGTATAACAGGTGAGGTGACAGGTATGACAGGTGTGACAGGTGAGGTGACAGGTATGACAGGTGAGGTGACAGGTGTGACAGGTGAGGTGACAGGTGAGGTGACAGGTATGACAGGTGAGGTGACAGGTGAGGTGACAGGTATGACAGGTGTGACAGGTGTGGTGACAGGTATGACAGGTGACAGGTGTGACAGGTGAGGTGACAGGTGTGACACTCACGTCCTTGATGAGCAGCGCGTGCAGCATGACATCGGTGAGGGGATACACGGGGGGGACGGGTGTATGACAGATAAGACAGGTGTGACAGGTGAGGTGACAGGTGACAGGTGTGACAGGTGACAGGTGTGACAGGTGTGACACTCACGTCCTTGATGAGCAGCGCGTGCAGCATGACGTCGGTGAGGCCGTTGTCCTGCAGCGAGGACAGCAGCGAGGGCTCCTGGAACACGAACACCGTCACCACCTCGGTCGCTGCGGCGGAGGAGAGAGGGGGGCACTGAGGGCAGGTAGAGCACCTGAGGGCAGGTAGGCAACACCTGAGGGCAGGTAGGGAGCACCTGGCTGCCCAGGTGGGGCCGGGGCGTGGCTCACCCAGCAGGAACAGCGAGGGGCCGTAGTACTCGGCGTTGCTGATGATGTGCTTGAGGGAGGTGGGCAGCGAGCCGTCCA